CCGGGAAAGGTCTAGGCGTTCAGCAGGAGTGGGTTACAAAGAACCAGACTCCTTCCACAATGTGAAGACAGGGAGACGCAGCCTTGCTTTTTCCCCTTGAGGTTCAATCAACCTTTTATTGAGGTTATCACAGATCATAAAAGCCCCATTACCATTTTAAAGCACCCGATTCGACAGGGTTCAGCCCGTTCACGACGTTGTGCAGCCGTGCCCTCCACCTGGTTCTGAGGCGTTTCTGTCACCCCAGAGAAACCCCGCACGCAGAGCAGTCATTTGGACCCCGTTTACATTTACTCTGCAATTTGTCTTTGGAAGAGAAAACAAGATCTGGGTTTAAACAACAGCGTAAGAGTTTGATCTGCTTTCATCTCTTCTGGAGCTGGTTTGATTCACAGAAAAGCAGCAGAGGCTCGCAGCTGGAGTGAGCCTAGTCTGAACAAGATGAAGCCAGGAATCAGAGTCCTGAAGGGAGGAACCCAAAAAAGGAATTGGGGAGAAGGTTGAAATAATTCACAATTCTATCCGAGACCTACCCTCATCGGAAACCCAGATCCTACCTCAAGGGCTGATAGCCTCAATCTTATTTTGGACAAAAAAAGAATTGAAAGGGGCCAGCCTGGTGGTGCAGCGGTTAAGTTTGCATGTTCCACTTCAGTGGCCAGGGGTTTGTTGGTTCAGATCCTGGGTGCAGACATGGTACCGCTTGGCCCGCCATGCTGTGGTAGGCGTCCTACATATAAAGTAGAGGAAATGGGCACGGATGTTAGCTCAGGACTGTTCTTCCTCAACAAAAAAAACTGAAAGAGAATTCCTTGGACCTATCAACTGAGATACTTTGGAAGATAGGAAATGATTAAATACATTAAAAAAAAAGAAAAAAAGACTGCAGGCTCCTAAAAGTCAAATGCCTATTCTGGGACAGCTAATGTATGGCTCTTTCTGGGACACTCACGTGCTCTGTGTCCCAGTGGCTTAGAGAACAAAAGCCTCCCAATGAAGGTCACAGTGATGTGAGGGTCACAGCCCCTGGCCCCTCGGGGCCCCGCTTTCGCAGCTGGCTCTGCCGTGGGGGCCGTGGGCCGTGGGAGCCGGGAGCACGGCCCAGCCAGGCCCTCCCCCAGAGGCAGCTTTGGATGGCAGGTCAGGAGCTCTCATCCGCCCCTCGAGGTCAGGAGGCACCTGGTTCTCAGAGGAGACGTCCAGGACATTGTCCACTCCAGGCCCCTCCCCTCGGGCACTCAAGGCCGTCTTCTCACACCCGTCTGTTCCCACACAGGCTGCCGTCTCAGGGGGAGAGTTCAGTTTTGTCACACAAAAGGCGGGATTCACGCTGAGGGCTCCGGGCTGCTTTGGCAAACTCGGGTTTCATAGTTTCCACACTCTGACATGCTGAAGAAGATGCGTGAGGTGTGTGTCACCTGCACAGTGAAGTTAGTAAACTGAGACCCTCAGAGGCACATGAGGAGGGTGCTGGGGACAGGGAGACTGACGTGACTTTGCACAATTGTTGCTGGTTCTTCTTAGTGCTGAATCTCTGGTGTTTTTTACAGTTGGTTTAGAAAAACCTGCAGATGTGGGTACAGATTTTCCAAGAGTTTGACCCCGCCCATCTTCAACCCAAGCCCCCTGGGGTTGTCGTCATTACTTAGTTCCATCAAAATTCCTATTTCAACAATTCATCGACACGACAGCCACGTTCCGCCGGGCCAGTGTTGGACGTCTGGGGTGACCAGCTGCCCCAGTTTGTGGGGACTTGCCGGAGAGCCCCGTGGCCCTGCACGCCCCTTGGCCTTGGGCAAATGGGATGGTTTATTATGCTACCGCCAGCCCTGGGTCTGGTGTCCAGCTCTCTAGTGACCAAGTGTCGAGAAGTGGATAGAAAGGGGATTTGCTAAAAAAAAAAGAAATAGCTGAAATCATTTAAAATCTCCACCAAAAGTTTCTGGCTACATTCTACTCCAGGGATGGCTTCCAAAAAACAACCCAGTGATGCATGTCACTCACAAGGCAAGATACGGTTTCTTACTTTGCAGGGATGACCTACCTAAGGTATGGTGGAAATTAGACCATACTTAGAAATTAGCCATAATAAATACCAGTGCACTGAGGTTCTGAAATATTGTTATTTTTTCCTCCAATTTCCACATTTTAGAGCCTAATAAATAAAGCATATTATGACAGGCAGATATAACAGCATAAAGTAAAAATCTCCCATTTCTTTGGCGCTATTCAGACCTTGGAAAATGCACCCCACGGGCAAACTCAGCTGAGCTGGAGAAGGGCCAGCGTGGCAGCCTCCCCGGGCCATACAAACAGAACCAGAAGCTCTGGCCAAGGAAGGTGCCGCCGGGCTTCAACCTGTGCGCTGGATCCAGTGCCAAAACTCCAAGAAAAAGGGCTTCAGCGCCTGTGTCCACAGAACAGATTTGCAGAGTGGAGACAAGAACTGGCTTCATCAGCCTGGGAAGCCGAGACCTTCTCAAGCCCACGGGACGAAACGTCTCAAAATCCTACCTCCGCTCCCCGAGGCGTTTCCACCTTTCTGAACAATTAGTCTCTTTTACTCAGTAGCAGGCAGAATAACGGCCCCCAAATAGGCCCGCGTCCTAGTGCCTGGGACCCGTGAATACACAACCTGACAGAGGTAAAGAGGCTTGAAGGTGTGATTAAATTAAGGGTCGTGAGATGGGGAGAGTAGCTGGGCTCGTGCAGGCGCCCGATCTTATCCCACGGGGCCTTAAAATCAGAGAACCGTGCCCAGCTGAGTCCAGAGTTAAGCGACGTGACCAGGGCAGGAAGACGCACAGTCACAACGTTGTTAGCGTGAAGGTGGAGAGAGGGGGCTCTAGAACCCCCGGCCTCCAGAAGGAAGGCAGTTCTGTCGACACTTCGCTCTTAGCCCAGTGAGACCCCAGCAGAATGTAAGATTACAAACTCGCACTGTTTTAAGCCTCCGGTTAGTGACAATTTGTGACAGCAGCAGACGAGGAAGGAACATACCCTTCGTCACTTCCACTGTTCTTGAAGCCTGAGCAGTATTTTGCTTTAAACACCAATATTTGACCATTTCTTACCGAGTGTTTAATTTGCTTCTCTGTATAAACTTAAAAAAGTAGAAAAATAGATTTGGTCCTCAAGCAAATATGCTCCAAATCCCTCCCAGAGGGCGGAACGGCGTTTCCTCACACGTCTACTTCGTTTAGTTTCTCTCTTTGGTTTCGTGGCGCAGAGACCACTTCTGTAAGGTACCCGAGCGCAAGCGAAACCAGTAGTGCAGCATGAGGCAGACATGCTCGCAGGTGAGCGTGGAAAACGACAAACGAGCTCTCTAAAGTTGTGTGCAAAGACCCAGCAGTTCTCAACGTCTCCCCAGGGTGCTCTGCGTGTCACAACGACGGGAGCTGCCCTGGCCTTTTGTGAGCCAAGGACGAGGACACCAAAGAGGACAGTGAAGAACTGTGCCACCCAGCACGTCAGCATCCCCCAGAGAAACTGCTGGGCTGGGTCAGAAACACGTGAGTTCATTCATCAGCGTGAGAGAAGTCAACACGAACTTGAGACAGAGCATCACACAGTATCCAGCAGTCCTCATTATCAGGAATGTTTGCTGGAACCGAGGACACCTCAGCCCTCACCTGTAAGGTTCTAAGGACTTGGCCCCAAAACAACCTCACAATGGGGTAGTGAGAGCTGTACCTGGTCTTAAACACACACACACAGGCCTTTCTTCCAATAAACTCTAGACCAGAGATTCTTGTCCTAAGAAGTTTCTTTTTCTTTTCTTTTTCTTAACATTGTCACCCGAGCTAACAACTGTTGCCAATCTTTTTTTTTTTTTTTTTTTCTGCTTTATCTCCCCAAATCCCCCCAGTACATAGTTGTATATCTTAGTTGCACGTCCTTCTACTTGTGTCATGTGGGACACCACCTCAACATGGCCTGATGAGTGGTGCCATGCCGGCGCCCAGGATCCAAACCGGTGAAACCCTGGGCCGCCACAGCGGAGCGCACGGACTTAACCACTCAGCCACAGGGCCGGCCCCAGAAGTTTCTGATTCTAGTAAATACTAAATATTTGCTGACCAAATCCACGGATGAAAGGCCAGCTCCAGGAAACTGAGTCAGGCTGTAAGTTGGTTTTATTTATTATTAGCATTGTGCTGTGGTCGCTAAATAGTTACGTAAATAAGCAATTAAAAATCCAACAGCAGAATTCAAACCACTGCCATAGAATCCAATGGGAAAAAAGAGAAAGTGGTGGGGGTGTAAATGGGATAATACTGGCCATGTGGTGGTAGTTGCTGAAATTGAGTGATGGGGATATGGAAGTTCATTATACTATTCTATTTTGGAATATGCTTAAAACTTTTCCTAATGAGGTTAAATTTTAAAACAGGGAGAAAAGTCGGACTCACTGACTGTTGGCTGGGGAGGGCTAATGGGCAGGCTGTCGCCCCTCCAGGTCTACATGGATTCCAAGGGCCTTCGCCCGTTTCGGAAGCCAATCGGCTTCTTCCAGAAGAAACCCAACAACGTTAGACCAACCTTTTGCCATTATAGCTGCTGCTGTTGGAAAATCCTTACAATGTCGACAGCCAATCGGTTGAGAACAGGGTCTACCCTCCTCTAATCGGACCTGCTCTGACCTCTCCTCGCACAGGTCTGCCTTCAATGGTACAACTGGCCCATCGTATCGGGTGCCATCGGGGCACATTTTGTCAAGGCAGCGACCTCAAAGGCTCTCCAACTCAGGTTTTTCGAAGAAAATGGAAAAACCCAGATGAGAAAATCGATTTTAAGTAACATCAAGAAGAACGGCTTTTTTCTCTTAAATCCTGAAGTCATGTCAATATTGCCAAAGCCACTATGAATGTTTCTTTTTGACAAACATCACGTGTTAAATGCTTTCATCTATAGGATCACTTAATATACTTTTTTTCTGCTTGAAGTTCTGGTTAGATTCAAGAAGATTCTAGAAGAAAAAATTTCAGAATTCTTACCTCTTCAGGTCCGGAAGCCTGAGGCTCACTGGCAGATCTGGCTGTTGAGAAAGCAGAGAGGAAAATGTATTTTTTTTTAAAAAAAGGAGAAATAACATGATGCATAAGAGCTGAACAAGCAAACGAGTGTTTCTGTAAATAGGGTTCATGGTAAGAGCTGAGCAGCTCTGAGGGCAGAGGGTCTCCCAGGGTTACATTTCTGAGTCGAGAAACAGACATTTTGTTAACTTTTTTTCTTCCAAGGAACAGATTGGTGAAAACAGGAGTCCTTGTCTTTGTGACCCTCCCTAGCCTGCAAGGAAGCATGAGATGCAAAGTTGGCTTGGGACCCAGGGGCAGGAGAATTCTTGGTGGCAGGCTGTGTCCCAGCGAGAGAATGAGAACTCGGCTCCCTCCTGACCTCAGCTGATTTGCTCCCAGCAGGACCAAAGCAGCGGCAGAGACAGAACTCGCCCTGGCTTCAGGTGTCAGGCGCAGACCTGCAGTTCCCTTTGTGTGTATCTCACCCTTTAAGAGGGTAGACGGGGACCAGTTCGTGGCGGTAAGAGCGCCTTTAGCATCAAAGCTTCTGCAGGCTGCTTAGAAGTGGAGACACCTGCACCCCTCACCACTAGTGGCCTCAGGGTGTCGGGCAGAGGTGGCCTAGTTGTGCTAAGTGTGGTTCCTGTCTGAGAACATTCCTGTGAGAGGAGCTTCTCAACTGCTGAAAAGATGTCCAGCAGTCGGCTGAAGGAGACTGCCCAAGTCTCAGGACCGCTTCACGCTCCTCTCTCGTTATGTCTCAGAGCAAAGAGGTACCTCACGTCTGGGGCGTAACCGAGGGCGGAAACCAAATTCGCACTGGGCCCCGGGACCAAATGAACAGCAGTGTCTCTGGAGACCTCACACAGCTTGAGAAGGGCACCCGTGCTGCCACCACAACCTAATCAATAATATTCCCAGACGGCGACAAGGGGCCACAGGTTTTTAAATGAGCCAAAGTCATTAGAAAACTGTTATCTCATGATTAATGACAGCAAAGGGGAAAAAAACAAACCAAGGGCAAAAACAACCTCTTTTCAGAGAACCAGCCGGGGGATCAGTGATCAGTGGGACTCCCCTGTCCCAGGTGCGCTGGGTCCCCCGCTCGCACACATTACGGGAGACGGCGAAAGTCAGCACAACCTTGCTGCACAGTGGCTTGGCCCTATTTATCAAGATCCTCAAACATGTTCTCAATCATCATCTTACTGATGCCACTCCTTGATTTTATCAAAAAAAAAAAATCTAAAATGTAGGCAAGGAATTATTACCAAGGTGTTAGAAATAGCCTGCATATCAATAACACGAATCACTAAGTAAAACAGGGAAACCTCACATGATGGAACTTGGAAACAATAAACACAAAAAATTTAAATGATGGGGAAAAATACACATGACATAAAGTTATACGAAAAGAGAATACAAAATTATAGATATAGTGTGACCTCAGCTGATTTTCTAATATATATTTACAGATAGATACATATTTTTCTCATGCATTTTCTATAACATTTTTCTTAGGTAATATTCTTCTAATACATCATATATAATGTTTTCTTGTAAATATTGTACATAATCTCTTTCTGATACATATTTTTCTAGAAAAAGGAGTGGAAGAAGATCCATCAAAACCTAAACAGCATGTTACTCTTCGGCGGAGGACGGTGGAAGCAGCAGAAACTGCTGGATATGCCCAGTGTCTGCTGGCTCTTCTTCCAGGCTGATGACGGAATTCTAAGCCGGGCAGACACAGCTCAAGAGTGCCGCCTCTTCCCAGCTCCCTCTCTGCCAGGTGTGTGGCCAGTGTTCAACAGCTGCAAAGCGAGAGGTACGACTTCCGGGTCACAACCTCCGCTTCCCAACTTTCTCCCTTCCTGCTGGGTCCCTGTGCCATGCCACCTTAGACCGTCGAGCCAGGGACACATGCCAGGCCTGTTGGAACACCACCACAGAAGAGGCTGGGTCCCGGGACGACCTTGGGGAGCAGAGTGACCTTGCCAGCCCTGCACCCGCCCCCGGACTGTTAGTGAAAGAGAAGGGACTTCTAGCATCCGTCAGCCACTGTGAAGTTCAACCAACAGCCGAATTAATGGAGGAGTCATTCTTATTCTTTCTTTACAATTTAAGTATTTTCCCAATTTTCAATAATCATTGTGTATTACTTTGACCATCAGAAAAAAATTTAAGCTAAGCTTTGTCTACTTTTGTTAAGAAAACTGAGAAGGCACAGAATGAAGCTTGGGCAACATGTGTCTTCTTCCCATATATGAGGGGAAAACGAAAGCTACCGTTTCGAGAAGTAGTTATTACATCATGTGCCCGGGCGCAGATCAGACACGAACCCCCAAGTTTGAACGGCCCTTAATCACACCCTGTGACGCTTTACTTCAAGCCTTTTGAAAATTAGTTTCAATAAGGAAAAGTTGCTTAACTCTAAATAAAATCTGCTTTAAAATGTACTTGAGGAAAACTCTAAGAAAGTAACACTCTAGTCGAGGTATCATAATTCTCCATTTAAGAGGACACCCAGGCCTGTTCCCGTGAATTTAGAAACTTTCTTAAAAACGGTTTTGTCTGTGCACTGAGCATCCCCTTAGATTGAGGGCGTTCTCTGTCCCCCGTGTGGAGTCACAATGGCTCCTCATGACCCCGCTGCCCAGTGACTCCGCTGACTGTCCACCAGCCGAGCCTGCGCTTCGATCTCGCTCCCCAGGAGCGACGACAGGGTTGGCAGAGCCCGCTGACCTCCCTGGTCCCTTCTGTGAGCGCTGGGTGGGCGTAACAAGAGGACGGCCTGAGAGAGGAGTCGAACCTCACCCATAACATAGAGAAAGGCCCCTGGGCACTCGAGGATCAGACCTCAGTAGAACCAGCCTCCAACCACCTCAGGACGCGGCTCTGAGGACCCTCCAGACCTGCAGGGACACAGTGCCAGCAGCACTGGGAGCCTCTCAGAGGATCAGCCACACCCTGCGCACGGCACACGGACGCCCACCAGGTGGACCTGAGAGACTTGTATGTAATTACAGATCCAATAAAGGACCCATCCATCCTTCCCATTCTTCCCAAGAGAACGCCAGATGGTCCTTTCCTCCTGTGAATCGAGGCCCCCAGCAGTAAGACGGCTAACTCGCTCTCGTTCAACATCCGAGGCGGGACGCCAGGCTCCCTGCACGTCCCTCCCAGGACGACTGTGCCAGCACGTCCTCGAGAGCCCCAGACCCTCTCTCGCACCAGGCAAGTTGAGGCTGACAGTCAGAGCTCTGAATTCTCCGTTTCCCTCCCCACTCCCTTTACAGGAACATGAGCAAGTGGGCTCTGCAGGCCTGATCGCCATGGCAACGACAGGCACCGCGACTGTGAGGGTTTGTTTTTTAAAATGACTCACAGATTGTTCCCCCTGAAGCTCCAGACACACAGGTTTCTGGCTGGTTTATGAAATCTATCCGAAGTTGTCTTGCAAATTTCTTGCTCCTGTTAGCACAACTGGTACAATGGGGAGAGAGTCACCAAATCAAGTATGTCCTTCTCCTGGAGGACGAAAAAAACCTCACTTGGTTCCTTAACACTCCAAGATTAATCAATTTAAAACTCTGGTTAATAATGAAATTAATTTGAGTTTGTACACTGGAGATAATTAATCTGTTCCTAATTTAAATAATTAAGGCATTTCATAATGTAGTTTTAGAGACCCAAATGAAATAATCAAGTGAAATGAAATCAGTAATGAGATATATCAAATAGCCTAAATCTGTGGGTACACGGTCGGCTGTACGTAAAGCGTTACAAAAGAATAAACGTAAGTCTTAACACCAAGATGCTTCAACCAATGTCCAGAATAAAGACATTTGTTTTTAAAACGCAAACAGGAAAGAGTGCAGACATTGGAAGAACCGTGGACGCCTTCCATTTGTTTATTCAGTACGTGCTATTCAAGACCCTCTGTGTGAGGCTCCACTGTTTGCGACTGGACCATCGCGGGAGGCTGTTTCTCGCTTGATGACAAAGGCCGTGGGCGTGGCTCGGAGTGGTGTCTTTTCTCAGAGCCTGTGCCTCATGAGGCACGTTCCAGGCGAGCTCCTAGCCAGAGGGACCGTCCCCTAACCGTCAGAGCCGGCCTCCAGTTCAGAGTCCTGACCTTGGCATCACGATCGAGTCCCTCCAAAAAATATGCTGGTAATTTTGGTATGCCAACTTTCCTCTGTGTGAAATGGAAATACACCTATTTTAAAAGAAATTTGGATGGAAATTATTTATATAAATCTATTTAACTTAAGACTCTAAGTTCCCTGGTGCTTACATATAACACACAGATATACACACACACGCATACAATAGTCCTGGTCAGGGGTAGGCCCTGTGGCCAAGTGGCTAAGTTGGCATGTTCCGCTTCAGCAGCCCAGCTTTGCAGGTTCAGATCCTGGGCATAGATCTACACCATTCATCAGCCACGCTGTGGTGGTGTCCCACACACAAAACAGAGGAAGACTGGCACAGATCTTAGCTCAGGGCGAATGTTCCTCAGCGGAAGAAAAAAAGTCATATTCACACCTTATGTACTGTCACCAATGATATATTTTTTCTCTAGAGCTCGAAGGGACAACCAGACTGCATCAGTCAGGACAGGCTGGGTTATACTTGGTAACAAACAACCCCAAGTCTCAGTGGCTTAAGACAGCAGACCTGACTTCTCACTCTCACACGCGTCCTGTGCCGGTCAGTGGAGATTCCTCCCTGTGCTGTTCCTGAGACCCAGGTGGCGTGAGCCGCTGCCAGGAGCCAAGGAGCACACTCACATCCTGGTTCTTATGAGCTTCCTCCTGGAAGCGATAAGCCCCACTTCTGCTCTGGCTCCACCGGCCGTGTGAGAGACAGGGTTACACTAACCAAGCAGACGGGGAAGCGTCAGCCTGTCGTGAGCTGGGAAGGAAAATCAGGATGTTTATGACCAAGTACAGGGATCACTGAACAGAGAGCGAGAGCCTGAGACCGGCGCTTAACCCACTCAGAACATCGACAG